GGGTTTACAGAATACTTCAATCAGACGTTAAAACAAATGCGGTGTAAATTCGTTGATGAGACTGGCCAGGACTGGGATCAATGGCTCCCATATCTTCTCTTTGCATACAGGGAAGTTCCCCAGGCTTCTACTGGCTTCTCCCTGTTTGAACTGTTATATGGTCATGAAGTTCGGGGTCCTCTGACACTACTAAAAGAAGTCTGGGAAGGAGATTGTGGTAAGAGTGAACCTACTAACATTGTGTCTTTTCTTTTGGAAATGAGGGAACGTTTATAGAAAATGAGGGCATTGACCCAAACTCACCTGACTGAGGCCCAGAGGCACCAAAAGGCATGGTATGACCAGTCGGCCCGTGAAAGAGGCTTTGAGGTTGGGGAAAAAGTGCTTGTGATGCTGCCGAGCCAGGAGAATAAGCTGTTGGCCAAGTGGCAGGGTCTCTTTGAGATCAAGAACCAACTAGGCCCCATCACGTATAAGGTAGCCACTCCAGGGCAAGATCGTGCTAGTCGGACACTCCATGTTAATCTTTTAAAGAAGTGGGTATCCCGACCTGAACAAAAAGCACAAGTTATGATGATTTGTCATGTGAAGGAGGAAGAGGAATGGGAAGACCCATACTTGCCTCAACCAGTAACTGGGAGTATCAATCTGCAGCATTTGCTGGAAGATCAGCAGTCCCAGGTGAGAGCTCTATGTGATCCTGAACTATTCTCTGAATATCCTGGCTTAACGTCGTTGATACAACATGATGTGGTACTAAAACCTAATACAACTGTTAGACGTTTGAGTTATAGAATACCGGAGAGACTCCAAGAGGTCCTAAAGGAGGAGGTGAACTTAATGCTGAGATTAGGAATTATTGAACCCTCTAAAAGCGAGTGGTGTTATCCGGTCTTAGTACCAAAAAAGGATGGGAGCATCCGATTCTGTATTGACTTCAGGTACTTGAACTCTATATCACAGTTTGACTCCTATCCTACTCCCCATATAGATGCCTTAATTGATCGGCTGGGCAAATCCAAATATCTGACAACTATTGACCTGTCCAAAGGGTACTGGCAGATACTACTCACCCCGCAGGCTCGTCCTTTGACAGTATTTAGGACCCCATGGGGCTTATTCCATTTCCGGGTTCTACCCTTTGGCCTGCATGGGGCACCGGCCACCTTTCAAAGGCTTATCGATCAGGTACTATGTGGATTAACCTTTGCTGCAGCCTATTTAGATGGCATAGTTATCTACAGTGTTGGGGGTAACGCACTACAAGTAACGTAAGTTACGTAATCAGATTACTTTTTAATTTACAAGAGATTATCTGAGTTACTTTTTCAAATAAGTAACGCAAGTTACTTTTATTTTTCAATTTATTGATTGACAGCTCTCCTGTCCCCATGTTGAGAGAAATCAGATGTTACTGTAGTAATAAAATAAATATGAATATGCATTAATTCATCTCACTCACAAAAAAATATATATTTTTTCATTTTTGATTCAATATTCCTCAAAATGAATAAAAATAATGCAACTCAGAATATGACGCACACCTGCAATAATTAAATGTTAAACAACACAAATATCCTTTATGTATTTAATCCCATTCTATTTGCTTCTGACCTTCGATGATCCAGTTCAACCGTACTAATAAGCACAAATTACTCTAGACAAACATTTGTGTCTTTTTTTTATTGCTGAAGTGTGTTGAAATGTCTTCTTCTGCATTCTACTGTACGGACGTAAATGTACTTTCCCTTGAGCCTGAGGCTTATTCATTTCACTTCTGGTGTGAAAAGGCTTTTATATTTGCCAAAAATAGAACTTTTTTATTTTAAAAACAAACAAGCAAGCCCTGTCCAGATTTAAAAAGTAGCGCAAAAGTAACGTAACACATTACTTTCCATAAAAAGTAACTAAGTACCATAATTAGTTACTTTTTTAATGGAGTAACGCAATATTGTAATGCATTACATTTAAAAGTAACTTTCCCCAACACTGGTTATCTATAGCAACACCTGGGCAGAACATGTTCAACATCTTCAAGAGATTCTGCAGTGTTTACAAAAAGCAGGCCTCACAGTGAACCCTGCCAAGTGTGCCGTGGCCAGGAAAGAAACAGAATACCTGGGATTCGTTATTGGTAACGGGGTAGTGCGACCTCAGGTCAAGAAGGTTCAAGCTTTAGAGGAAGCTCCCATTCCACAGACACATAAGCAACTTCGATCCTTTCAAGGAATGGCAGGATTTTATAATCGCTTTATTCCTAATTTCTCTAGTAGGGCCGCCCTGTTGACAGATATGGTTGGAGTCCAATGTCCGAATCAGTGTCAGTGGTCAGAGGAAAGGATGGCAGCTTTCCGAGGTATTCAAACTGCACTAAGGAAAATGCTGTGCTGTATAGTCCAGACTTTGCTCAATACTTTGTTGTCCAGACAGATGCCTCTGAGAGGGGCATAGGGGCTGTGCTTCTACAAGGACCTCCAGGTAAACGCCGGCCAGTAGCTTTCATCAGCCGCAAACTTTTTCCACGGGAAGTTTATTATTCTATTATGGAGAAGGAATGTTTGGCAGTGAAATGGGCCCTAGACTCTTTGAGATATTACCTACTGGGTAGGGAGTTCAAAATAGCCATAGACCATAAAGCTCTCCAGTGGTTGGAAAGGATGAAAGATACCAATGGGAGAATAACACGGTGGTACTTGGCTATGCATGTCCCCGGCAAGTCCAATGTGACTGCTGACTACTTATCTCGTTGTACCGATGAGATTTCTGAAAGGAGGGGGTGTGTAATGGCCGAACCTGAGGCCACACATTGATAAGGGTAACTCCGCACTCATTCATGCATACTGAATGCATTTTTCCCTTGTACACATTTATTTATATATTAATTTACCTGTTTAGTGAGTCATACATTTTTTCCCTACTCTTTATTTACCTTTTACGTTACGAAGGAAATGGAATTTGATTGATTTTGATTGGTTTTCTTTTTCACTTATTTCTTATTATTGATATTTGTTGTTTGTTTTATTATTGTTATTTTGGTTGTTTGTTATAGTTATTTAGATTAGTTTAATTGTAAATTTACTTGCTGAATTACGAAATGTTGATTGTATGTTTCCCCTGTCTTGATTAAGTGAGCTCACCGTTTGTCTTAAATACCTGTCTGTTGTGTTAGTTGGGAGGTCAGCTCTGTTTTGTTCAGTTCTCCTCAGTTTCTCTATATACGGAGTTAAAGTGTGTTGTTGACCTTAGTTATTCTAATGTAGCTAGATTATTTATTGAACCAAGTTGATTTATTCTTTTTGTATTCTTTGTTTGTGACTTTTCCTTATTTTACGCATAAAATATATATATTTTTTTATGAAATCCTGTGTCCTTCCGCCTGTCTATCTGGCTCCCTTACATCAGATCACAGCTCATCATCCAGAGTCATGTCACATCACAGCTGATCTTCCAGAGTCACGTCACGTCACAACTTATCATCAAGAGTCACGTCACGTCCTGTCTGTTGCACCCAGATTATCAAGGTCAGTCCTCAGCTTCACCTGCTCTGCCGGCCCCACTCTGGCTATCTGCTTCGCCGGTTCTGCCTTGGTGCTCTGCTCTGCCAACTTTGTCTCAGTCCCCGGCCTCTCCACTTCCACGTGGACCTGGCCCTCCATCCCTCCCCCTGTTCCACTTCCGCTCCACCACTCTCCTGGATTTTACTGTTTTAGGAGTGTCTGGAAGCCCCTCCTTGGGGGGGGGGGATGTCATGAACAGGATGTTCCGTCCAATTGCCACCAGAGGTCACCCTTCCGTTACATTGACTCTCACACTACACAAACTGTTGCATGTCATCCCGGACTACATATCCCAGCATCCATTGCACTGATTACACACACAGCTGCTGCCAATCACACACCCTACATAAGCCATGGACTTCCTCTCTCTCACTGCCGAGTATATCGCTCAGTTAGTGATTGCAACGTTACAGAGCCCTTTTCCTAGTCTTGTATTTGTTCCTAGTTCTAGTCTAGTCAAGCCTCATTGTGTTATTTGATTGCCTGATTCTCTACCTGCCTTGGATTTCTCTCGCCTTATCGTTTGGTCTCTGTTTGCCCATTTACTGGACTATGCCTGTTTGTGGATTACCCGTTTGCCTTGCCCTCTGGATTACTTTCGCAGATCGAAGACCCTCACCTGCCTTAAGAATACTCTTTGCCTTGCCTGTGATGTACCTGTGTTGTTGTCTGACCCTTGCCCGTTCTTTGACCACGCCTTTGTAATAAAGCCTTGCACATGGATCCGCACATCTCATGTTCTGATTACTCCGTAATATCTTTGTGATAGAAATGCTACAGCCAGTAATTTCTTGAACAAGAACATGTGGAAATCAAAACATGCAAACTCAGAGCGAGGGTTTAAACTTGTATTTTGAAGTCGCAATGTTAGCATATAGCAAACAGTTAGCATATTTAGAAAGATACCCTGCTAAAAAAAACAGCTAAAACCAGCCTAAGCTGGTTGGTTGGTTTTAGCTAATCATCCACCCTGGTCATAGCTTGTCAGCTGTCTGGTTTTAGAGGGGTTTTGACCACTTTTTTAGCTGGTCAGGCTGGGAAAACCAGCTACTGTAAAACCAGCTTGGCCAGGCTGGTTTTGAGTACTCAAATTTAATCGAGGAATCGTGACAGCCCTATTAGTATTATTTTTTAATATTCGTTTTTCATCACTCAATTATCCTCATTACATTTTATTGTGTTATGTATATAAAAATCAAGCCTTTTACCCTGCTTTTATTGAGACTGAAATATCATGCTCTCACTGTGTTCTAAAATATGTAATTTTTGTTAGTTCCTTCATTTTTAACACTTATGCAGAGTTTTAAAAAATAATTTCATTAAATAATGGTTCAATCTTTCTGGCAGTATACTTGAGGGGACCGTAGTCTGAGTGATACTATCTGATGTATAAACATGGCAAGAGTTAATTCATTTTTTACCATTATTGTCCTGATAACTCACCAGCAGTATAGCAAGTGTTGAGTGGCTGGCTGACGTTACTGGGCATGCTTTTTAAACACTTCATCAGCTTAGTCTCCGCCCCCTTGTGCCTCTTCATGATCACATGACCCATTACCCAGGTGGTGTCTTTATACAGCACCTGTGGCGAGTAACAGAACAAACCTATTAATACAGTGAGTGATTTATTGTACTGAGTAGGGGACCATTACATGTAAATACTTGAAAAGGTAGTTGAAATAAATGAACCATACTCAGACCATCCAAGATGTAGCTGACTTTTTTTTTCAGTAAAATATTTTTACCTTAAACTATGATCCTTGGTGATTCATAAAATGCAAGTCCACACATGTTGTAAATAATGTTAAGTTTCTTGCACAGACTGATTGTTTCACTTCATAAGAACTCAATATATCATCAGGAACCATGAGTATTAATTTTGTGTTGCAAATTTTGTCTGTATATTATTTTATGCCTCTCAAAGGGACGAGAGCTGTGGACTACATTTTATGAGTCACCAAGGACCACGGTTTCAGCTAAAAACTTCTGTACACTTCGACTGAAGAAAGAAAAAGTCACCTACATCTTGGATGGCTTGAGGGTCAGTAAATTAAATGCAAATTGTAAAACCTGACTTGAAAGTCCAAACCCTGACTTGAAATAACCTAACAAATTAATTGAGGCTAAAGTGGTTCAATAAACGACAATTAAAGTTCATGCAATCTCACTAATTTGATTCAGGTTCAGTGGCTGTAAATCAAATGTAAGCTAGCTAATACAGCCCTAATTACTAGCTCAAATTAGTTAATGTGTAGGCCTATTCCTACCCGTTAAAATGTAGTCTGTTTTTTTTTGTACTTTTAATTGAATGTTTTTAATGCTTCAAATAGCAATTTTAGATTGTAATGTTTTAATGTTCTACTAATAACCATAGAAGGTACAGCTGTCAAAAAAACAAAGAAAGGCTGCATGGCAGGGGAAATGCAGATCAACTGAATGTGCAAGTAGCAACCATTTTAAAATGTTTATATACCTTAAATACAATGTCATTAAATCCTGGGGCGCAATACATTAAACAATACATACATTCGGTTGTAGCCTATATTTTTATTTAATTGATGTATTATTTAAGTTGCATTTTCTGTATACTTTTATTTTTGGACTGATAATGAAGTCAAATAATTGTATGTGAGAGAGTCAGTGGTAATTAGCCTGCCCCTGACCAGGTTAGTTTCTCAGCATAAGTTGCCTCTGTGCACTGATTACCTGGTGTAGCTAATCACAGTTGTTAGTAGAACATTAGATTTTGTATTACACAAGCATGCTTTTTGGTTTTAACTTGAAATTCTTACAGATCAATCCAAGTCATACAATTTGATTGCACTTACGGTCTTGGAGGTGAGGTTCCATCTCCCATCATGCACTGTAGCTCAAACAGATCATGAAAATTACTGATCTACTACTTTATTGCTTATATTATTGCAATGGTGTGGTTGTACCACTTCTCTTCTCTGTCTACATGGCATCACTAGGTTCTGTCATTCAGAAACATGGCTTTTCATATCACTGCTATGCTGATGACACTCAACTCTACCTCTCATTCCATCCTGATGATCCGACCATAGCTGCTCATAGCATAGCATCTCAGCATGTCTAACAGACATTTCTTGTTGGATGACGGACCATCACCTTCAACTCAACCTGGCTAAGACAGAACTGCCTGTGGTTTCAACAAACCCAGCACTTTATCAATTTCACCATCCAGTTAGGCTCATCACCCATAACTCCTTCAAAAACAGTTAGAAACCTTGGAGTTGAGATTGATGAGCTGAATTTCTCTGACCACATTGCTAAAACTACCCGGTCCTGCAGATTTGCTTTATACAACATTAGGAAGATCAGGCCATTTCTTTCAGAACATGGAACAACTCCTTTGTTCAAGTTCTTGTTCCATCCAGGCTGGACTACTGCAATGCTCTCTTGGCAGGTCTTCCAGCCACTTCTATGAAACCTGTACAATTCATCCAAAATGCCGCTGCAAGATTAAGCTTTAATGAGCCGAAAAAAGCGCATGTCACACCTCTGTTCATCAATTTGCACTGGCTACCAGTAGCTGCTCGCACTAAATTCAAGGCATTAACGTTTGCTTACAAAACCACCACTGGCTCTGCACCCATTTACCTAAATTCATTACTTCAGAGTTATGTGCCCTCTAGAAGCTTGCGTTCTGCAAGTAAACG